CTCAGTTTCTCCCTTTGTTCCTTGAGGGAGTTGACTGAGATCATTTGATCTCTTCCTGTGGCAACATTACTAGGTGTAAGTACAGACACGAGGCTAAGCCCAAACCCTTGGCAAGTCCCAAGCCTCTGGGATAGCCATGAATCTGCCTGAATTGTAAGAGCTCAGGTAGGGAAAGGAGCAAAATCATGATCAGCTTCCTGCTGACACACATTCTGCCTTCTCTGAAATTCATGAATGGCAAGGTGGAAGGTATGATGGAAAACACTGAATCAAAGTAAGAAGCAGCCTTAGAATACAGCCATTTTTCTAGCCATACAATCTTGCTGGGTTAGTTGATTCCTCTGAGCCTCAGTTTTCTCATCTATAAAATGGGATTAGCAATACCTATCACATAGTGATGTGAGTTATCTATGACACTGTACATGTAAAAGGTCCCTGTTTAAATATTTCTTGGGCCTGAATTCTTAGGAGGGCACAATAGGTGTAGTTTCTATGATTCTGTAGAATTAATATTTGAGCATGTCACACCTGGAAAAAAAAAAAAAACCGTCTTTTTTCATGAATTTTCCAGGACCTGGGACAGGATTTTTTTTTTTCTTTAGTACATTCCTGTGTTGCTTTGTCCACAACTGGCCTCCTCCCTTCATGTCAAGGAAGAACTACATTTTACATTCCTTTCAACTGATACAATTGCAATGCATTGATTCCCAAGGTAGTAGAACAACTCTCTCGCTGGCTCTATTTTTAATTTCTCCTTTTTTCTCGACAACAGAAAGCTTCTTTTTCTCTCCAGAAAGGAAATGACATCACCCTGTGAATGTTAAATTCTGGCAGAAGTGGGGAAAAAAAACAAAAATGGCAACAGCCAGGAATGAGAAGTTGCATAGCATTTACTTGGTTTATGTATTTCAGGGATACAGAGTACTCTGTATTATTGGCAATTATTATCTCTGTGGTCAATGCTGAGTTCTAAAATAATTCTCTTTTTAGTGCACTTGGCAGATTGATTGAATCGATGGCCCCAGTTCTTTATCATCCCTTTTGCAGTTCCCTTCACTAAAGAGACGGGGTCTATTAACCTATCTCTTGTATCTGGACTTGGCCATGTGACCTGCTTTGATCTGTGAGATGATAGTAGTCATGATGTAAGTAGAAGGTTTAAAAAATACTCATGTGGCCTTGGCTGGTTTGGCTCAGCGGTAAGAGCATCGGCCTGCGGTACAGAGAAAAAGTACTCATATGGCCCGGCTGGTGTGGTTCACTGGCTGAGCGTCAACCCATGCACCAAGAGGTCGCCAGTTCAATTCTCAGTCAGGGCACATTGGGGATTTGTGGGCCAAATCCCCAATGGGGGGCATGCAGGAGGCGGCCAGTCGATGTTCTCTATCATCGATGTTTCTATCTCTCTCTCCCTCTCCCTTCCTCTCTCTCTAAAATTAATAAAGAAAAAATAAAACTAAAGATGTGCCCAGGCTACCTCTCTAATCCTTTTCCCTTCACACCAGCCTCAAACTAGACTCCAACAGGGGGGCACAGCTGGTGTGACATTATTCACACCAAATCGTTTCTCTTTCTCTCTCTCTCTCTCTCTCTCTCTCTCTCTCTCCCCCCCTTCCTATTTAAAATCAATAAAGAAATTAAAAAAAAAAATTTTTAAGTACTGATGTGTTTCCCCTAATTCTTTTGAACCCCTGACACCATGAAAACATGCCCAGGCTATCCTCCTAAAGGGATATGAGAGGGATTCGAGTCAAGATCATCCTGGACCATTAAGCTTTTGCCCTCAAGTGCATAGGCTTGCGAACAAAAATAAATGTTTGCTGCTCTACGCCACCAAAGTGTTGTGATTTGTTACACAGTAATAACTGACACAGTGCATTTGCCTAAAATTTTGGTGCCTGGGGATGACCCATGACTTCAGCTGAAATGGTAAACAAATTTTTGTACTTCAGGCCACACTGGTATTATACCTAGCAGCCTGGAGAGGTAGCTTGAAATCTCCGTTTTAGAGAAACTGCTCTTTAATTGTTCCCTAAATAACACCCTGCACACCCCTGCCTCTGTATATTTGACTTTCATTTCTCCCTACTAGAATGTCCTTCCCTCTCTTCTCTGCCTGTTTATATCATACCAGATTCTTAAGGACCTACTTAAAACCAACCTTTTCTGCCCAGCCTGTGTGGCTCAGTGGTTGAGTGCTGTCCAATGCACCAAGAGGTCACCAGTGGTCAGGGCACATGCCCAGGTTGCTGGATCGATCCCCAGTAGGGGGCGTGCAGGAGGCAGCTGATCGATGATCACTGTTTCTCATCATCAATGTTTTCTCTCTCTCCCTCTCTAAAAAAAAAAAGAATTAATAAAAACATATTTAAAAAACAACAAAAAAAAAAACAGCCTTTTCTGAATGACCTATGGTTGCCTTCTACCTGCAGTGGTCTCACCAGCCTGTTAATACATAGGGTAATTCTTGCCAGAGTCATGAATTAGATATCTAATACATGCTGCCTCATATGGCTACCATTTTTTTTCTCTTTATTGATTTTAGAGAGAGAAGAAGTTAGAGGGAGAGAGAGAGATAGAAACATCAATGCAAGAGAACATTGATTGGCTGCCTACTGCATGCCCCCCTGTCCCCTCTGGGGACCTGGCCCACAACCAGGTATGTGTCCTGACCAGGAATCGAACTGGCAACCTCTTGGTGTGTGGGTCGATGCTCAACCACTGAGCCACACCAGCCGGACCTATTTCTTATGTACAGTTGTTTATTAAACTAGAACCTAAATTCCTGGCAGGCAGGGCCCATCTCCCCCTTCTTTTATCCCCATAAGCCTTTTCCCATTGTCCCCAAATTAGATATTTTCTTTCCCTCCTTCAAATGTCCATATCTCGTTAGTTGTATTTCTTATAGGGGACCTCACCTAATTTTCCTTGTGAGAACTGGTCATGTTCTTTTTTCTTTTTTCTTTTCTGCTCACCTCCACCATCACAAACAATTCCTAACACCACAGGCTCCACTTTAATTCCATGTGCATCTCTAGCACCTGGCAGGGTGCTGACCCTATAGTGGGTGCTGCAGTAAATACTCGGTTATTACTTCTCTCTCCTCTCTGGGCTGAATGCCCCAATTTAGACCCTCATCATTGCTCAGATAGAAAACTGCAAAAAGCTTCTAACTAGCCTTGTCTTCCTTTCTCATCTTCAACCAGTTAGCAATATACAACACGGAATTCAGTATAACAGGAAAATCTAACCAGACCATGCTCCTGCTAAAAACAACCACCCCTCTCAATAGCTCCTCTTTTCTACATACTGAAAGCTAAACTCTTAGGCCTGGAGTGTATGGCTCACTAAGATGTGCCCAGGCTGCCTGGCCAGTGTGGCTCGGTGGTTGGGCACCAAGAGGTCGCCAGTTCAATTCCTGGTCAGGACACATGCCCGGGTTGTGGGCCAAATCCCCAGTGGGGGCATGCAGGAGGTGGCCAATCAATGTTCTCTCTCAGAGATGTTTCTATCTCTCTCCCTATCACTTCCTCTCTCTCTAAAATCAATAAAGAAAAAAAAATTTATTAAATTTTTATTTTTTAAAAATAAAGATGTGCCCAGGCTACCTCTCTAGACCCTTCTCCCTTCACACCAGCCTCAAACTAGACTCCAGTAGGGGGGCACAGAATAATTTGACATTATTCACGCCAAACCATTTCTCCCCAGCTATACCTGGCACCTTTCTCCCAAGTTGTTTCATTTGGCTCAGCCCAGCCCATCCTGCCTGTCCCTCCAACATCCCACAACTTCCTCCAGTCCCCTTTGGTGCCACATTGATCACTGTGCTTTCAATATGGCATTCTGATTATCTGATGAGGTGGAAGTTTCCTGAGAACTAGGACTGAATTGCTAATACCTTTGTAGGTGCACAACCTACCAGAGCACCCAGAACATAGAAGTACAGTACTAAAAGATTGTTGGATGGCCCTGGCCGGTTTGGCTCAGCGGTTAGAGCATCGACCTGCGGTCCAGAGAGACCCGGGTTCGGTTCCCGCTAAGGGCAGGTACCTCGGTTGCAGTTTGGCCCTGGCCCTGGTTGGTATTGTGGGTGGCAGCCACTCGATGTATCCCTTTCATGATGTTTCTCTCTCCCTCCCTCCCACTCTATCTGAACAAAAAATGGAAAAATGTCCTTGGGTGAGGATTTAAAAAAAAAAAAAAATTGTCGGATGGGTGGATCGAGACAAGGATCTATCTGCCTGAAGTGGCCCCGTTTGTTATTGACCTAAATGTAGACTTGACCTAGGGAACTAGTCCTCAGTAAACTCACTCTTTGTCTTCCAGGACTAAGTGGGATTAAGTTGGCCAGAGTTCAGTGCCAGCTTTTAGGCTCTCCCCTGCCATCCTTGGTGCCCAGGCTCACACTGGGCAGAAGATTCACTTAAATGTCGAATGATGGTGGCTGACATCCACTGAGCCATTACCATGTACCAAATCTTGTTTTAAGTAAATTTATTCATTCAGTTCTCACAGCAGTCTGTTGGGGTACATACTATCTTACAGATGAGGGTTAGAAAAGGTTAATTAACTTTTCTAAGATCACACAGCTATTAAAAATAGAATCTGTGTGCAAACCCAGGCAGCCTGCCCGCACCACCATCACCTCCTGTCTCCCCAGGTTCCTGTTCATCAGGGTCCTTCTCAGTCTTTTTCCCTCCCAAGATGTGGGGAGAGGTCAGGGCTAAGAAAAGAACATTTCTGCTTGACTTTTTATTTATTTGGTTTACTTAAATTCCTTTGTGATTACCTACTGATGCATATTTAGCCAGGATGAGACCCATATTTTCTTATTTTTATCTGTATAAATATATACTTACCCATGAAGATAACTTTTTCATACCCAAATTAGAGCAATTAGAAAAGAACCATAATGTAACCAGTTTTGCTTTTGCAAGTCATCCCTGCTTCTCAGGGGGCTGGAAACCACACCGCTTCCTCTTTGCCACCATAGTGAACACATAGCATTTGTCACTCAGCTCTGAGCAACTTCAGTGACACTACCAGGGGAGCTCTGTACTGGTCCCAATGGCGCGCATCCCACGTGTGGCATCTTTCCTTCTCTTTCTGAGTGAGTGTCATCATTCTGCATTTGTCTCCTGTCACAGGGGTGATTGGGTGATGGAAGAGGACAATTTGGATTCTACAGGAAAATGAGGTCACACTTCTCTGGGGCTGGCATTGCTTCTCAGCTTTTGTCTGTGATGCCAGATCTGTGTGTTTTGCTGGCTCCGCCTTTACCTTGTCTTCCTGGGCGAGCCCATCCCTGGAGAGAAGAGGCTTAGCTCTGCAGACTGGGAGGTGATCTCAGCGTTTGCCTGATGTCAGAGCTCGACTACATAAGTGTGCCTTGGGGATAGAAGGAAAGGTCATGAGAACACTTAGTAGTTTTAGGCTAAGCTAAAAGAAGGTTCTGGGCTTCACCTGGGCTAAAGTGGGAATTGTCTACAGAGAGGCTGAGAGGGGCAGGAGGATTCCCTTGGCTTTGCTGAGGAACATCTGCAGAGGCCATAGCTGGCCGGGGCATTTGTGCATGCCAGGGCACAGGGGAGGAAAGGGAAGTGTGAAGTGAATGGGAGAACAGGTGAACTGGGGAGGGAACGACATAGTTCCAGAGTAGCTAGAGCAATGAGCAGGTACTAATTTGTGCAGTGGGTTCCTTTAGCATCTGGTAAAGTCTGTAGATCCTATCTTAGAATAATTTCTTAAATGCATAAAATAAAGTACAAAAAATTCTAGGGGAAATCATTCATATTGAAATGCAATTATCAAAATATTTTAAAATTAATTTTAGAGAGAGGAAGGGAGAGAAAGAGAGGATGAGAGAGAAAAACATCAATGTGAGAGAGAAAAATCGATTTGTTGCCTTCTGAACGTGCCCTGACTGGGGATCAAACCCGCCACCTTTTTTTGATATACAGGATGATGCTCCAACCAACTGAGCCGCACTGGCCAGGGCCAACATATTTTATTATTGCTATTATTATTTTTAATCTTTATTGTTGAATGTATTACAGATGTTCCTCATTTTTCACCCATTGACCCCCTCCTCCCCACTCCCGCCCCCCTCCCACCTTTTCCCACACTATTGTCTGTGTCCATTAGTTATGCATATAAGTTCTTTAGTTTATTTCTTCCCACCTCCAACCCCTTTTCCTTTGAGGTTTGTCAGTCTAACAATGAATTTGTGCTTCTTAATCCCTTCACCTTTTTCACCCATTCCCCCAACCCTCCTCCCATCTGGCAACCAACAAAATGTTCTCTGTATCTATGAGAATGTTTCTGTTCTGCCTGTTCATTTTGTTTGTAGATTCCATCGTTGATAGATATGTATTCATTGCCATTTTGTTTGTTCATATATTTTATCAATTTCTTCAAAAAGACCCTTCATCATTTCATATAATAACGGTTTGGTGGTGATGAACTCCTTTAACTTTTTCTTGTCTGGAAAACTCTTTATATGGCCATCGATTCTAAATGACAGTTTTGCAGGATAGAGTGATCTTGGTTGTAGTTTCTTGCTTTTCATCACTCTGAATATTTCTTGCCACTCCCTTCTGGCCGGCAAAGTTTCTTTTGAGAAATCAGCTGACAGCCTAATGGGAACTCCCTTGTAGGTAACTAACGCTTTTCTCTTGCTGCTTTTAAGATTCTCTCTGTCTTTAACCTTTGGCATTTTGATGATGATGTGTCTTGGTGTGGGCCTCTTGAGGTTCATCTTGTTTGAGACTCTCTATGCTTCCTGGACTTATATGTCTGTTTCCTTCACCAAATTAGGAAAGTTTTCTGCCATTATTGTTTCAAATAGGTTTTCAATTTCTTGTTCTCTCTCTTCTCCTTCTGGCACCCCCAAGATGCGAATGTTGGCACGCTTGAAGTTGTCCCAGAGGCTCCTTACATTATCCTCATTTTTTTGGATTCTTTTTCTTTTTGCTGTTCTGATTGGGTGTTTTTTGCTTCCTTAGATTCCAAATCGATGGTTTGTTTCATGGCTTTACCTACTCTGCTATTGAATCTGTGTAAATTATTCTTTATTTTAGTTAATGCCTCCTTCATTTCTGACTGTGCATCCTTCATTTCTGACTGGTCCTTTTTTATGCTCTTGAGGCCCTCACTAGGTTCGCTGAGGTTCTCACTAAGTTCATTGAGCATCCTTATAAGCAGTATTTTGAACTCAGCATCTGTTAAGTTGCTTATCTCCATTTCACTTAGTTCTTTTCTTGGGGTTTTGTTCTGTTCTTTCATTTGGGACCTGCTTCTTTGTCTCCTTATTTTGGCTGCCTCCCTGTGTTTGTTTCTGTGTATTACTTAATGAGAGGTATGGGGCTAGCTGAGACCAGATGCTGCTTCTTTGAAAGAATTTAGGAAAACAGGAAGCAGGATCCAAGACAGGCCAATCCTATGGTGAAGCAACTGGCAACAGCTTGGGTGGGCCTGAAAGTTGGGTGGGGTGGAGCTCAGGGAATCACCAGGGCAGGGCTACCACTATGAGCCAGTTTGCTGGAGTCCCAGATATGGGGGCTGTCTGCTGCCCCAGGCAAGGGCTCACCAAAGAAACAAAGGCCTCTGACAGCACGTTTGTCCCAGAGAAAGCCCCCTCTCCAGCCCTCGCTCCAGTGCCAAACAGCTCAGTTCTTCCCTGTATGTCTCTGCCACCTCTGAGCTGCCTCCCCTCCAGGCTTAGAGGGAGAGAGTCTGATAAGTCTGTGTGTGGGCCCTTTAAGGAGCTGCCTGGGGCTCCAGCCACGTCAGCCTTCCTGAGCCTCAGTTTCTGCTGGTTTTTCCAGCCAGAAGTTATGGGGACTTCTCTTCCTGGCACTGGAACTCTGAGTGGGGCGCCTGGTGTGGGACGGGGACCCCTCAGTCCTCAGGAAGGACCTTCCCAGCCGACGTGTCCTCCTGATTTTTATCCGCCACACTTGGGTGTAGGACCAGCCCGTATTGCCTCCGCCCCTCCTACCAGTCTCGATGCAGCTTCTTCTTTAATTCAGTAGTTGTAGGACTTCCACTCAGCTGGATTTCAGGCGGTTTTGAATGATGGTTGTTCTGTAGTTTAGTTGTAACTTTGATGTGGTTGTGGGATGACGCGATACCGCGTTTTTCGGGCCAACATATTTTTAAATAGATTATGGTATAGTCATGTATTTGTTTCTTTACACATTATGAAATGAACTAGAGGTGGTCTGTTAACCACCAAACTTCAGAGTAGTAATGAATATGAAAAATATTTCAAGATATTTGCAACAACTGTAATTTGATATGAAAATATTTCTGGTTTGTTGTCTACATTCAGGACTGAAAGAAATGCTAAATTTCTATGAAGATTAGTGAAAATGAAAATGTAGGGTGTTGTTTTTTTCACCCAGGTTTATGAACTTTTTAATCCTGTATGTGGACCCAGGTTAAGAACTCCTGCTTTACAGACATTGGATTGAGTTAGTGAAGGGACTTGAATGACTAGAACCATAGGGGAACTAGAAGAAATTAGTCAGTATGACCAGGGCTGTGGCTAAAGCATGAAAAGGATGTGCTTAATAAACATTGGCTTGAGTTGAACTGGACTCATGTTGCAAGGGACATTGGATCATGTGAGGTAAGGATCAGATCTGGGGCTTGGTGGGGTGAGAGGTGGCCTGGGTGATCAGTACCCACTAGACTGGCTAGGTGGACTGGTGGGATCCTTTGGGGATTGTTGGCTGGTGTGTTCCTGTTTGTCCTGTTCTCAAGTGTATTTGAGTGTGATTCTCAAGTGTATTTGCTTTGTGAATTTCGAGTATATGTTTGGCTTGTGTGTAGGAGGAAGCTGGGCTTATATTGGGCAAGCCAGACAATTGCAAATTCTCTCTCTCTCTCTCTCTCTCTCTCTCTCTCTCTCTCTCTCTCTCTTTGTGAGCAGGCTGGAAGGTCTGGGGGAAAGAAAGCAGTAATCACAGTTCTAAAAGGGAAGCTGGAAGCTTTTCCTTAACCCATTTAAACCATGACCTATACTGGGCTATATATTTTATTTCTTCTAAATTCTGAATCATCCTCAGCACTAATTTTGTATAGAACCACAGTTTTTATGTGAAGAACACACAAATCAGGAAGTAACTTGACAAAACTTAGGAAGCCTGCTATTAGTCATCACAAATATTGAGGGGGAAATGAAGGAAATTAATTAAATGATGACCAGTTGATCAAGTGCATTGTTTAGCAAATACATACTTTGTCCTAATTTATATTTTTAGTAAATATAAGTACTAATTAATCCAGTTATAATATGGTGCTAGATGAGGTCTATATCATGGATAAATGAGCTCTTGGACTTAGTCCTTAGTTTTTTGTTTTTATTTTTTCTTTCTTTATTGTTTAGAGAGAGAGGAAGGGAGAGGGAGAGAGAGATGGAAACATCAATGAGAGATAATATCAATTGGTCGCCTCTTGCATGCCCCCCCAGTGGGGATTTGGCCTACAATCTGGGCATGTGTGCTGACCGGTTACCTCTTGGTGCATGGGTCGATGCTCAACCTCTGAGCCGGCTAGTCCTTAGTTTTGTATACTTGATCTGTCACCCCTCACTCTGACTACCCCTACTACCTCTAAGCATCCAAAACATTGGAAAACTATAGATGTCATCACCACTGTGACCTTAAGATTATAATCCCATTCTTTCTATTCCTCTTGCCTCCATCACTTCTCTCCTAGGCTATATTTACCTCATGTCTGTTTCTAATTTCCATCATGCTACACACAACTGTCAGGTTGATTTTCCTAAGACTTTTCAAACACTTGCAGTGTATTTTCCATGGCCTAAATCAATCAAGTTCAAACATTTAATCATGAGAGTCAAGTCGTTCATATTTTGGACCCAAATGTCCTCCCCATTCTTACCCCCTATTAATCTTCATGTAACTCTTCCCCTAATCTAACTGACGACTCCCTATTTCCTTCAACAAGTCTTTTGATTCCTACTCAGTCTCTTCATAAAGTCTCCTTACCTAAAAAATCCTGTCTCCCCACTAAAATAATCATATTTCCAATTCTCCAAAGTCCATTTCTAATACTGTCTCTTTCATAAACCTGACCTATTTCCCACCTCAAAAAAATATAATCTCTCCTTTCTTCAAATTCCTTAAAGCATTTTTATCACATCTCTCTATTACGACTATTATCCTACTTGACCAAATTATAAAATTTAGAAGTCAGAGACTATCTCAAACTCCTCTCCATATCTTGGTTCCTGAAGCATCAGAAATACTGTAAGTGGTTGAATAAATATTTATAGAATCGGCAAATAAAACAATATAAAATGAAATGCTAGTTTTCACAATAAAATGTGTCAAATGCGGTCCACATCTCTCTGAAAAGTCATGGAAAATGTTGAAGAGGTGTTGCCTAGCAACCAAAAACATTGTGGAAACGTGCCCTGATATAAACAGGTTAGTGGTACATACCTCAGAAACTATATTTTTAAAGATATTTTTATTGTGAAATATAATGCACACAAAAAGTTAATAAAACATAAATGTGTTGTTGAACAAATAAGTAAAAAGTAGAAACCATGTAATCACTACCCAGGTCAAGAAACAGAATGTTGCTAGGACCCAAGAAGAACCCACCAACCCTGCCATGTGCCCTGTGCAGATCACAACCCTCCCCCTGCCACAGTCAGTTATCTGACTTTCATGATAACCACTTCCTAGCTTTTCCTTTCTTTTCAAATATTTTCACCCCTTATGTTTGCATTACTAAACAATACAGCGTAGTTTTGCCTGTTTTAAAACTTTATAAAGAGTAGCATCATTCTCTATATAGTAAAAAAGATTCAAAAGTATTTTGCATCTTTTATTGAAGTTATTCATTTTATTGCAACTATTTCATTTTATGAATATACTGAATTCATCTATTCTGCTGTCGATGGACATATGGGTGGTCTCTAGTTTGGGCTGTAATGAACAGCACAGCCTGATGCACAGTGCACACATTTCTCTAAGATGTGCGCCTAAGACTGGCTGGCACTGCTGGAATTGTTTCCAATTGCCTCTCTAGTATAAATTTTTTTTTTTTTTGGTAAGTAATAATTTAAAATTTTCTCAGATGGTCTACCTTCTATTTCTAGGCATAATATAAATATGAAATTGGGATTTATGAATAAATTAGTGTATTTTAAATTATTACTGGAAATGTGTGTGGTTGGTTGGTTGATTGGTTGGGTGTTTATTTTCCATTTTGCACTGAGCATTCCCAAGTGCAGTTTTTAGTTGACTGTATCAGGTGACCACATACCCTTTCTGCCCGTTTTTTTGTAGCCTTCTTCTATCAGAATTGTTTTCCTTTCTCTCAATTTTTTCCCTTCGGTCTCCTTTATTCTTTGTCCTGTAGTTACAAAATTTAGCAGATGCTCTGCTTTTTCCATATCTTCTTATGAACCCCATTCTGTTCATTTCTTCAGATTAACTCTCCCAATTTGTGACCTTTTTTGATGTCTCGCCACCTCACCCACTGTCTGCTGACCCTTGGCCCCAGGGAAAGATCTAGCTCACCCTTGTGGCATCTCTGTCATCTCTTCTTTGTTCTTTCTGTAACACAAACTAGCCTTTAATATTAGCATAAATAAACTCACTTTAATTTCTGCAAAATGCTTGATTTTGAAAATGTGTTTATCAGAGGAAATGTTACCATTTAATAATATTTTCTCTTTTAAATCCAATACATGAGATTTGTCCCAACAGGAAAAATTCCACAGTGGTCCCAAATGAAAACTTGGGGTAATAGAAGAACTAAAATAAATTCTGATTTCAGATCCTGCTGGACTTGGCAGCCATCTTTATGAAGCTTTTCAATAAAGTTGTAGTGGCTCTTTTAAAAATTACAAAACAGTCCGGCAGGTGTGGTTCAGTGGTTGAGCATCAGGAGGTCACCGGTTTGATTCTCAGCCAGGACACATGCCCAGATTGTGGGCCCGACCTCCAGTGGGGGGCATGCGGGAGGCGACCAATCGATGTTCTCTCTCATTGATGTTTCTGTCTCTCTCTCCCTTTCACTTCCTCTCTCTCTAAAATCAATAAAGGAAAAAACATTTTTAAAGATAATAATAATAAAATATAATAAAAAATAAAAATTACCAAACAAAAACCCCTCCACAGTATAGAAAGGAAGTACTGCTATCTCTTCAGATGCTAATTTTAGCTGATCTTGCATCAGATGTGACCAGCAGCTGCAAATAGTTCTAACCAACCTGCAGGAAAGAGCATGGCCCCATGGGCAGCGCTGGAAACTGCCTCTGCAGCAATCACGACTGTGAGAAAAGCTGCCCAGTAATTTGAGTCATAGGGGGTACCTGCTGAATTTTCCCAAAAAATAATGTTCAGGTGAATCATCACACATCGTATTTACCTTAAAATAAATGCACTTAGATAAGCAGATATGTTTCATGGTAGAGGCCATGTTATTAAGTGGATGAAACTAGGCTTTTTTCCTTTAGTTTTTAAAAATATTTTTTAAATTAATTTTTAGAGAGGAAGGGAGAGGGAGAGGGAGAAAGAGAGAGAGAGAGAGAGAGAGAGAGAGAGAGACATTGATTGGCTGCCTCCTGCACTACTCCTACCTGGGATTGAGACCACAACCTGGGCACATGCCCTGACTGGCAATTGAACTGGCAACCTTTCGGTGCACTGGATGATGCTCAAACAACTGAGCAACACTTGCCAGGGCTAGACTTGTTTTAAGAGACTAGAGATGATGATGGAAGTTAAAGTTCTATATTTAAAAAACAAAAACAAAAAACAATTTATGGAATCACTCTACTGCTCCTTGGCTTGACGAAGGTGTTGAACACTTGAGTTGATGATAGCTAATAACCTGCAATCTCATTTACTGGAATTGTAATACAGGGAGCCACAGAAGGCAGCACATTGGGAACTAGGACACTAATCTATTTTTATTCCCCCTTTCTTTCTTGTACTTGAAAGCTAAGCTCAGCATTGGCCAGAGAGAAGTAACAGTTCAGAAAGGACCGCTGTTTAGAGCTGAAGGTTACCCTGTCAGCATTGGCTGCAATGTAAGTGGCCACCAGGGACCTTCCGAGCAACATTTCCAGTGGTCTGTTTACCTGCCGACAGCCCCGAACCAAGAAATCCAGATTGTTAGCACCAAAGACGCCGACTACTCTTACACAAAGTATGTGCAGCGGGTGCAAAGCGGGGATATCTACGTGGAGAGGGTCCAGGGCAACTCAGTACTGTTGCACATCTCAAAGCTCCAGGTGAAGGATTCTGGTGAATATGAGTGTCACACACCGAACACTGATGAAAGATACTTTGGGAGTTACAGTGCGAAGACTACTCTAATCGGTGAGTTGTGTGCCCTCCTCCGCTAGCCAGCCTGAGCAGCCAGGGTCTCCGTCACCACAGTGCCTTGCAAAGTGATATGGCTTTATACTGTGCTATTTGCTTTGGCCAAAGAGCCCACGTACCTCTCTGGATATTTTGGGGATTTGTCACAAATAGGTATTTCATGGTCTCTAAAGCTCTCAATTAATTATTCCAATCAACTTTGCCATAAAGATTGAGATAGTGTGTGGTCTTCCCAAGGCCTTATCCACAGCCACACATAGTTGATAATAGCAACAGCACCAGTCAAAGTTTTGAGAGTTCTCACCATGTTATGTCTTCTCCTGGAAGGCAGAACATTAATGTGATAAGAGCTGGTATTAAAATCTAGGTGGTAAGTCATTAACTGGGAATTATTTTCAAACCTACCATTCTCTACCATATTTGCCTAAAAGGAGAGGGTAATAATTTTTGCAATTACCATTCTTTCCCTTTGCCTAGAATATCTTATTACCCCTTTTTCAGCCTAGCAAACTCCTGCATATACTTCAGGACCTAGTTTAGATATTACCTCTGCTGTGAAACCTGTCCTGACTGTCTCAGGCAGTATTCCAATTTTTTTTCCCTCTTGATGCTCTATTCATACCACTATTATTAGCACTCACCCATTGAGTAGATGCTCAGTAAATATTCATTGATTGAATTTAGGTGTTGCCTTCACCTACGCTTAGGCCTTGTCATTTCCCTTGAGGACAGAGCGAATGATAAGGTGCTAGGATGGTTATAAACACTTTTATAAAGATTACATTTTGGCTATGACTGACAAATAACAACAGATTGTTTCAGAATTTTATTTTATAAAGAAGCAGGTTAAGGCCCAAGAAAGTGAAGTGACTTGCTGCAGTTCATGTAGTCAAACAGGGACAGAGTTAGGATCAGAATCTAGGTCTTCTAGCTCCCAGGGTTTCCCTTTTAATGTATATATTTTTTTCTTCATTGATTTTAGAGAGAGGGGAAGTGAGAGGGAGAGGTAGAAACATCAATGAGAGAGAACATCAAATGGCCTTTTCCTGCATAGCCCCCACTGGGGACTGGGCCTACAACCTGAGCATGTACTCTGAATCGAACTGGTGACCTCTTAGGTTGACACTCAGCCACTGAGCCACACCAGCAGGGCGGGCTTTCTCCTTTAAATAGTCTGTGTCTGAATAGCAAAACTAAAAATGTAATGTTAGGGTTAATACATCAGGGAGCCATTAGCTTGGCTGACTTCCATCGACTGCATGTACATAGATGCCAGCGTTTGCATTGGCAACGGGGAATGCATATGGCTACTGGAAAAGAAACTTGAAAATACGTGCTTTACAGATGGTGGATCAGGGTGCCATCTTCATCTAAGGAGGCTAGTCTGACAGGTATTGGGCCAATTATCGTTATTTCTTTGCTTCCAGTTATTCCAGACACTCTCTTTGCCACCATGAGTTCCCAGACACTCAGTAAGGAGGAAGGTGAGCCACTAGAACTTACCTGTGAAGCAGCCAAAGCCACAGCTCAGCATACTCACCTGTCTGTCACCTGGTACCTGATGCAGGATGGAGAAAGTCCAGCCACCAAGATTATTTCCCTGTCCAAAGATTTTATGTTGATCCCTGGGCCCTCATACACAGAGAGGTTTGCATCCGGTGACGTGCGCTTTGACAAGCTTGGAGCCTCTACCTTTAGGCTGTCCATAGGGAGCCTGCAGCCCTCAGATCAAGGCCAGCTGTTCTGTGAGGCAACTGAATGGATCCAGGATCCAGATGAAACCTGGACTTTCATCACAAAAAAGCAGACAGATCAAACAGCTCTGAGGATCCGGCCGGCAGGTAACTATCTTCTCAGAAAATTAATATGCTGAAAGTGGGTATTTATGGGATTACTTTTAGTTTTCTTCTCATCTTTTCTTGAATCTAAAAAAAAAAAAAAAAAATGTTTAGAAAACTTGAGGGAATTTTCCTTTTTGTCGTCCGGGAAGCATAAACAAACGGAAGACTTCCAATTTTGGGCTCTGTCCCCAGGAAGGTTTGTATGGGCTCAGATCTGTTGAAATGTTCGATAGATCCTACAAGCCATACATGGAAATAGTGTTGTTACCATTTTGGCCAGGCTCTGAGAAGAACCTGAGCCCCAGGTTCAGGTGCTAAATGCTCTGCCCAAGGTCACCCAGCTGCTGAGAGGTGGAGCTGGCCATTGACCCCCTCCTCCTCCCTCCTGCCTTCTCCTACATTGTTGTCTGTGTTCATTGGTTATGCATATATGCATATAAGTTCTTTGGTTTATTTCTTCCCACACCTCAACCCCCCTTCCCTTTGAGGTTTGTCAGTCTAGCAACCAATTTGTACTTCTTAATCCCTTCACCTTTTTCACCCATTCCCCCATCCTTTCTCCCATCTGGTAACCAACAAAATGTTCTCTATATCTATGAGAATGTTTCTGTTGTTTGTTCATTTTGTTTGTAGATTCAATTGTTGATAGCTATGTATTCATTGCCATTTTGTTTGTTCATATCTTTTATCTTTTTCTTCAAGATGACCCTTCAACATTTCATATAATAATGGTTTGGTGGTGATGAACTCCTCTAACTTTTTCTTGTCTGGGAAACTCTTTATATGGCCATCAATTCTAAATGATAGCTTTGCAGGATAGAGTAATCTTGGTTGTAGTTTCTTGCTTTTCATCACTCTGAATATTTCTTGCCACTCCCTTCTGGCCTGCAAAGTTTCTTTTGAGAAATCAGCTGACAGTCTTATGGGAACTCCCTTGTAGGAAACTAACTGCTTTTTTCTTGCTTTTAAGATTCTCTTTTTATCTTGAATCTTTTGCATTATGATGATGATATGTCTTGGTGTGGGCCTCTTGGGGTTCATCTTATTTGGGACTCTCTATGCTTCCTGGACTTGTATGTCTGTTTCCTTCACCAAGTTAGGAAAGTTTTCTGCCATTATTGTTTCAAATAGGTTTTCGATTTCCTGATCAAACACAAGATGCTTGAAGTTGTCCCAGAGGCTCCTTACACTATCCTCATTTTTTTGGATTCTTTTTTCTTTTTGCTGTTCTGATTGGGTGTTTTTTGCTTCCTTAGATTCCAAATCGATGGTTTGTTTCATGGCTTTACCTACTCTACTATTGAAATCATTTATTTCAGTTAATGCCTCCTTCATTTCTGACTGTGCATCCTTCATTTCTGACTGGTCCTTTTTTATGCTCTTGAGGCCCTCACTAGGTTCGCTGAGGTTCTCACTAAGTTCATTGAGCATCCTTATAAGCAGTGTTCTGAACTCAGCATCTGTTAAGTTGCTTATCCCCATTTCGCTTAGTTCTTTCCTTGGGGTTTTGTTCTGTTCTTTCATTTGGGACCTGCTTCTTTGTCTCCTTATTTTGGCTGCCTCCCTGTGTTTGTTTCTGTGTATTACTTAATGAGAGGTATGGGGCTAGCTGAGACCAGATGCTGCTTGTTTGAAAGGATTTAGGAAAACTTGAAGCAGGATCCAAGACAGGCCAATCCTATGTGAAAGCAACTGGCAAAGGTTTGGGTGGACCTGAAAGTTGGATGGGGCGGGGCCTCAGAGAATCACCAGGGTGGGGCAAACAATGTGAACCAAGTTGCTGAAGTCCCAGATATGGTGGCAGTCTGCCGCCCCAGGGAAGGGCTCACTAAAGGAACAAAGACCTCTGACAGCACGTCTTTCGGGGAGAAAGCCCCCTCTCCAGCCCTCGCTCCAATGCCAAACAGCTCAGTTCTTCCCTGTATGTCTCTGGTGCCCCTCGAGCTGCTTCCCCTCTGAGCCTAATCCGAGTAAATCTGAGCAAATCCAAGTAAGTCCATGTGTGGGCCCTTTCAGAGGAGCTGCCTGGGGCTCCAGCTGCCTCAGCCTCCCTGAGCATCAGTTTCCACTGGTTTTACAGCCAGAAGTTATGGGGTCTTCTCTTCCTGGCAATGGAACCCTGGTGTGGGACGGGGACCCCTCAGTCCTCAGGGAGGACCTTCCCAGCCGAGGTATCCTCCTGATTTTTATCCGCCACACGTGGGTGTGGGACCAGCATCTCTGCCTCCACCCCTTCTACCAGTCTCGATGTGACTGCTTCTTTAATTCCATAGTTGTAGGACTTCCATTCAGCGTGATTTCAGGAGGTTTTGAATGATGGTTGTTCTGTAGTTTAGTTGTAACTTTGATGTGGTTGTGGGAGAATGAGATATGGCGGTTACCTACACCGCCATCTTGACCGGAAGTCAGATATTACCTCTTAACAGATATACAGTTTGCAAATATTTTCTCCCATTTTGTAGCTTATCTCTTCATTCTGTTGATTGTTTCTTTTGCTGTGCAGAAACTTTTTAACTTGATGCCATCTCACTTGTCAATTTTTGCTTTTTGTCTGTGCTTTTAAAGGCTCAAAAAATCATTGCCCAAACTAATGTCAAGAAGCCTTTCCCTCTGTTTTCTTCCAGTAATTTTACAGTTTCAGATCTTATATTTAAGTCTTTACTATATTTTGAGTTGATTTTTCAATATGGTGTGAGATAAGGGTCCAATTTCATTCTTCTCCATATAGATATCCAGTTTTCTCAAATCATTTTTTAATAAGACTATATCTTCTCCATTGTGTTTTCTTGACACCATTATCAAAGATCCATTGATGTAAATGTATGGATTTATTTCTGGTCTCTGTATTCTGTTCCACTGGTCTACATGTCTATTTTTATGTCAGTACCATACTGTTTTGATTACTGTAATTTGTAGTATCTTTTGAAATCAGTAAGTGTGATACCTCCAGCTTTGTTCTTATTCAAAATTGCTTTGGCTATTCAAAATGTTTTGTGGTTCCATGGGACTTTTATGGTTGTTTTTTCTATTTCTGTAATTTTAAAAAGCCATTAGAATTTTGATAGGGATTACATTGAATCTGTAGATTGCTTTGGGTGGTATGGACATTTTATCAATATTAATTCTTCTAACACATGAACACAGGGTATCTTTCCATTTATTTGTGTTTTCTTTAATATCTTTCATCAATGTTTTATAGTTTTCAATATATAGATCATTCACCTCCTTAGTTAAATTTATTCCTAAGTATTTTCTTCTTTTTGATGCTATTGTAAATAAGAATGTTTTCTTATTTCCTTTTTCTAATAGTTTGTTTTTAGTGTACAAAAATGCAACAGATGCCTGGCTTGTGTGGCTCAGTGGTTGCGCATCAACCCATGCACCAAGAGGTCACCAGTTGGATTCTTGGTCAGGGCACGTGTCTGTGTTACAGGTTCCATCCCTAGCAGGAGGATGTGCAGGAGGCAGCTGATCAATATTGATGTTTCTGCCCTGGCCGGTTTGGCTCAGCAGTTGGAGTGTCGGCCTGCAGACCAGAGAGTCCCAGGTTCAATTCCCGCTAGGGACACATACCAAAAAATAAAAATAAAAAAAATTGATGTTTCTCTTTCACTGACATTTCTCTCTCTCTCTCCCTCTCCCTTCCTCTCTAAAATCAATAAAAAAAATATATATATATATATATATTATATATATATATATATTTTTTTTTATCCTCATCCGAGGACATTTTTCGATATTTTGTTCAGATAGAGTGAGTGGGAGAGAGAGAGAGAGAAACATCGACGTGAAAGCGACACATCGAGTGGTTGCCACCCACACGACCCAACCAGGGCCGGGGACAAACTGCAACCAAGGTACGTGCCCTTAGCGGGAACCGAACCCGGGTCTCTCTGGACCGCAGGCCGACGCTCTAACCGCTGAGCCAAACCGGCTAGGGCAATAAAAATATATTTTAAAAGTAAAATAAATAAAATCTGCCATATCAATATGCTGATTTTTTTTTTAATGCAGCAGTTTTTTGTTTTGTTTTTTTGTATATTGATGTTTATTCTGCAACTTTATTGAAATTGTATATTAGTTTTAACAGTTTTGGGGTAGTGTCTTTGGGGTTTCTACATATAAGATCATGTCATCTACAAGCAGATGATTTTACTAATTGCTCTGGTTAGTACTTTCAGTACTATGCTGAACAGAGATGGTAAGAGTGGGCATTCTTGTCTTCCTGTTGATCTTAGAGGAAAAGCTTCCAGCTTTTCACTGTTAAGAATGATATTATCTGTGGACTTGTCATATATCACATGTGCTTTTAACTTAGGAAAAGTCCACTGGATATTCTCAGCCAAAATAGTGAGTAAGAAATCACAATTTCCAGTATAAAATATTTTATATTTTTATTTGGGAAACATATTACTGGATACTTTATACATCTATGCATACATGCTGCTTAATAGGATTGCATTCAGAAAACAGGTATGCTGTTCTTTCTGTGTGATTTAAGAAATAGTCAAGGGCATTTTTGATTCTAGGCATTTCTTTGGTTTATCTGCTCCTTAGAACTGAACCCCCATATGACATTCAATTCCTGTACCATCCTTACAGGGCGGTCATCTCTTTCTGCTACAGATGCAGTAACTTCTCTAAATATCTGCCTTGCTTTTGTTTCCTAGTGAGAGATTTCAAAGTCAACATTACGGCCAAGAGCACATTTACTGAAGGGAACCCCTTAGAACTGGAGTGCCTGGTAGTGGGCAGTGGCCGCAACCCACAGTTTCAGGGTGTTTGGTTCTTCAATGGTATTGAAATAGCCCACATTGATGCTGGTGGAGTTCTGGGCCTGAAGAAAGACTACAAAGAGAGAGCAAATCAAGGACAACTCCAGGTTTCAAAGTTAAGCCCCAAGGCTTTCTCTCTCAAGATCTTCACTGCGGGCCCAGAGGATGAAGGTGCTTACAGATGTGCAGTGGCGGAGATGGCCCGAGCTCAGGCGGGCTCCTGGCAAGTGCTTCAGAGAAAGCAGTCGCTGGACAGTCAAGTGCACCTGAGGAAGCCAGCAGGTACGTGAAGTCAGACCAGACACAATCAGCCTGCTTTCAGCTCCTCTCCTTCATTAGTATTGGATGCCTCATGGACGCAGTGGAGGTCTCCTGAAGCGTCCGGTGGCCATCAGATCACTTTGAAGGAACGTAAAGGAAAGCACTCAAACTAGCCGAAGTCCTGAGTTCCACTCTTGAGCCAGTCAATGGGTCACGACCACTTTATTTCTCTAAATCTCAGCTTCCTCAAATGTAAGATAATGACATACAATTAGATTGTCCTTAAGTCCTTTCTTGCTATCTTAGATTCTTTGACTCTACTTGCCGTTAGCCCTAATTTTTATACATTGGGTTTTTCTTCAAGCAGAGAAGACCTCTATGAATGAAGCTCTCTGTCTTCTTTTGTTGTGTGTGTGATGTGAGTAGGTTAAGAGGAGAAAGCTCCTCTGTGCCTTCTTCCGGGGAATAAACACTCACATCACACCCCACACTCCTCCGACGTCTTTCAGGTGCCTTTTGTCAATTCTCTGTTATCTTAGCCAGACACAGCGACTGATCCTGCCTTATTTCTGCATCAAAGCATGGCTCAGATCACGAATGAAGAGGGAAATGGTGGCGTGCAGGCTCTATTCCCTGAGTTTTGCTGTGATGTGGTGAGATGCCTATCTAATGAGTCTGAGTATCTGTAGGCATGAGACTGGAAAGGCCATTCAGCTCTCATTTAGTTTATGAAGGTTGGGTGACCTTAAACATGTTTGAATAGCCAGTGCTTCTTGTGTAGAGAGAAAACAGACAAATACATAGCTAATTCAGTGGTCCCTCAGTGTCCGCAGGGTATCGGTTTCCCCATAGACACCACAATCTATGGATGCTCAAATCTCTTATATAAAACAGCCTAGTACTTGCACATAACCTATGCACATCCTCTTGCATACTTTAATCTCTAGATTATTTATAACACTTAATTCAATGTAAATGTGATATAAGTAGTTGTTATTCTATATTGTTTAGGGAGTAATGACAAGGAAAAAAGTCTGTATATGTTCAGTTCAAATGCCATCTTAGGCCTAACTACATAATACACGTCAGAAGCAATAGTAATTTCTGTGTGTGTGTGTATAATATTTCCTTTTTTGTTGTTTGTTTTCATTTTTTTCCCTCTATTGATTTTAGAGAGAGAGGAAGTGAGAGGGAGAGAGAGAGAGAAACATTGATGAGAGAGAACATCGATTGGCCACCTCCTGCATGCCCCCCACTGGGGGATTGGGCCCACAACCTGGGCATGTGTCCTGACTGGGAATCAAACTGGCGACCTCTTGGTGCATGGGTCGATGCTCAACCACTGAGCCACACCAGCTGGACTGTGTGTTATATTTTCAACCTGTCGTTGGTTGAATCTGCAGATGAGGAACCCATAGATATAGAAGGCTGGCTGTATTAGCATTCTCTAGGCTTAGTATTAAATTCAAAGTCTAGAAAAATTAATTTACCTGAAAGGAGAAACAAAAATCAAAAACAAACTAAAAATAAAGATATCCTTGTTGTACTTGCTCATTAGTGGCATCTCCAAAGATAGATAAATTCCCCTTCCATGCTTTTCTTCATCTCCCCATTTGCTAGGAATGAAGACACAGAAGCTGTGGCCTAGAGTGGCAAGCCAGGAAGTGCGTTGGTGTTCGTTCTCACTGAACATTTGGTCTAACTTTCTAGGAATCAGGGAAAACTATGTAGGCAGTTTACATATTTACCCAGAACTAAATTTCTGCTTTGTGCATCTCAGTTTCCCCTGGAACACATCTGTGACCTTTCTTAAACTCAGAACGTGGAAATTTGTGCCAAAGGGACCTGTAGGTGTACTTCATGGTGTACAGATCTTAGGTCTATCTGTAGGGTGGTCTTCTAAAGCTAAAAACCGTTCTTTGTGTAGGCTGGAGTCCAAACTGGGCCCAATATGTAGAAACAGAAAACGTGCTTAGCAAATTTATTAAGGATCCTGTTGAACACTCAGTTTTAAAAGTCAAACTGGCCCTGGTCCATGTGGCTTGGTTGGTAGGAGCATCGTTCCATACACAGAAAAGTGGTGGGTTCGATTCCCGATCAGGGCACATGCCTAAGTTGTAGGTTCGTATGGGAGACAACCAGTCGATGTTTCTCTCTCACATCAATGTTTCTCTCTCTCTCTCTTTCTCTCTCCCTTCCCCTCCCTCTAAAAAATCAATAAATAAAAAATATAAAATAAAAGTTAAATCATTATTTTAAATACAAGCAGAGTTATATCATTCTATGAACATTTTAAACAGAAGAGGTTTCTCACTGCCACTGTGAATGTGTAACTTACCCACACTTCTTACCAAGGGGCATAATGACCAAAATGAACTAAGGAAACCTCATTTAAAAAAACAAATTTGATGTTAGTTGAAACTAATCATAATGGTTATATTAGATGGTGAGATTGTGAGTAATAATTTTCTCTCTAATTTCTAAACTGCAGTTATGAATCTATTTTTAACTTGAAAAAAATTTAAGTACAATTATGCTTTCAATACCCACAATTTGGAAACAGGTTTGCATATATATTTGTAGAAATTAACCTTAATTCCTCCTTTGTAACTTATGCACATATGCACATAAAACAGTAAAAGACTGAACTACTTCCAGGGTAGGAAGAACACTTTGCAAATGCAATTAGATTCTATTGAGATTTCCAATGCTAGTTCTATTTGGTTTTTTTCTTTTGGCTTTGAACTTCCTCTGTTTTCATTAAGTGTCTGCTATAATGTGCTGATGCTGACAGCTAACCTTTACCGGGTACTTTCCCTTGCCAGCCAGGCTAAGCCCTTAGTGTGCGCCATTTGTTTAGTTCTCTCCACAGTGTGATACGGTGGGTGCTGTTATCACCCCTATATTACAGAAAAGCAAATGGAGCCTCACAGAGGTCAACTATGTTCCCCAAGATAATTCTGACTCCTGGGACCTTGGCCTTAAGCCTGAGACTGGGCTGCCTGGGATGCATGAGCTCCTGAGGTTTTGTTTTGTTTTTTTTTAATCCTCACCTGAGGATATTTTTTTCTATTTACCCTCAGATAGAGTGGGAAGGAGGGAGAGAGAAAGAAACAGTGACATGAGAGGGGCACTTTGGGTGGCTGCCTCCCACATGACCCGGACCAGGGCCGGGGACGAACTGCAACTGAGGCACTTGCCCTTGATTGGAATCGAACCCGAGACTCATTGGTCCCTGGGTCGACGCTCTAACCACTGAGCCAAACCAGCCAGGGCGACTCCTGAGGTATCTCTGCTTTGCCCACAAAGCACCTAGGACCAGGGCTTGCACAGGTGTGTTTGTTGAATGAATGTCTGCATTTCTACACATACTGAATTTTCTACCTGTGAACCAGATTCACATGTATAGTTCTACACTGTAGTTTAGATAAAGAAGGATCTCCCTTCAACCAACACCATATATATATTATATGTAATTTGAAAAAGAAATATATCTGCACATAAGTATTTTCCTCCAAGTAATTATTTTTAATGGTAGTATTGTGAACAGAAATCCTATTAACAATAGTCCTTCCCTGTTCAAGACACATGCTAATTAGGGAAAGATAAGGAGGGATCATTTTGAACTGTGCAAATCTGAATTCCAAAAAACTAAAAATTTAAATAAACACAGCTTCATTACTTTCAGGGCCGAACACCCACCCTAATTACTTTAACAAAATATAGCCAGATGTTTTTCCAACTAGATGTTCTTAAGGAAGAGCTGATTTAACACATTGCTAAAAATAAGGGCAAGTTAGAAATTGTTTAAGTGTAAATAGTTTCTCCTGATAGTCTTTCTGCTGTCTTGTTTCTACTGTTTAAGCATTTAGCAAGTCTTTTTTTCTGAGGTGGTACAGAAGGAAACAGCCTGGTCTGATTTTTCACAAACCAGTCAAGTCCTAATTAATGAGGTCTCCCTGTGTTTTATAAATTTTTTCATTTACTTGAAATAATTTTTTCTTCTAAACCCTGTAATCCACAGCAAGAAGTGTGGTCGTGTCTACCCAGAACAAGCAGCAGGCTGTGTGGGAAGGAGAAGCACTAACCCTTCTCTGCAAGGCAGATGGAGCTGAAGGTCTCCTGTCCGTGGACTGGTGGCATGTGCCACAGGGTCAGACACAGCCAGAGTTTGTGGCTGGCATGGAGCAGGATGGCATTGTGCAACTGGGTGCCTCCTATGGGAAACCAACTAATCACGGCCACACCAGGCTGGAGAAAATAGACTGGGCCACCTTTCAACTAGAGCTCACCTCCACCACAGTCGCGGACGGTGGCACCTACGAGTGCAGAGTGTCCGAGAGGACCCAGAACCAGGCCCGAGGTCTGAGCTGGACTCAGAAGATGTCAGTCACTGTAAAATCTCTGGGTAAGTATCAAAGAAATCCTTTTCTGAATTTACATATTATCAGTCCCTCCTTTTTGCAGTGGGATATGGTAGAATCTGACTGTGTCTCATCCTGAATCCCCTACGGTATGTGTACCCAGGACACAGATCATGGTCTTTGGCTAGCAGGTCTGTCAGTTAATCTACAAAGTTCACTCATCTTTATAAAGATCATCTTTAGGGTGCAATTTGTAAGTTGTCATTCAAGGCTAAAAATGAAATCCTATAAATTGGAGTCGACTTATAGAAGAGATATGCCAAGTGGAGCTGAGCCCCATATACTCAGGCTCTTGACAGCTGCAGCCCTAGAATGACAGTCTCTCTGGCATGTGCAAAAAAGTGTAATGAACCATGAGTGGGGGTAAGGGAAGGAGGCCAGCCACTGGGCCTGGGAGCGCTCCGCCCACTTGGTGGCAGCTGTCTGAGCGGCAGACTGGACAAACACTGTCTGCTTGTTGTGGCTGCTGAGAACACTCTGAGAAGAGGGTCAACTTTGGAAAACTGAGGTCAGAATTCAGGACAGACTGTACTGTGAATCAACATCTACCTCTCAATGGATGAATGCTGGTTCCATGTGCAGAGGTGGTGCCGAGAAAACTTGGCAGCGCTGTACTTTGATTTGATTAACATATTACAAATTGTGTTTTGCATTTCTGCCCATAGCATCAAGTTTACAAGTTAGTCTGATGAGCCGTCAACCGCAAGTGAAATTAACCAACACCCTTGACCTGTCCTGCATAGTAGGGGCCAGCTACTCTGACCTCCAGGTACCACTCACTGTGACGTGGCAGTTCCAGCCAGCTGGGTCTCAGGTCTTTCACCTGCTTATTCGAGTCACTCATAATGGCACTATTGAATGGGGGGACTTCCCACCCCAGTTCCAAAAGAAGACAAAGGTTTCACAGTCTTCATTTCGTTCTCAACTCCTAATCCACGATGCCACTGAGGAAGAGGCAGGAGTGTATCAGTGTCAAGTGGAAGTTTATGACCGAAATTCCCTACATGTGAATGATGCCGCGAGGGCTTCTGCCACCTCTCACCCACTGAGGATAGTCATCTCTTTACCAGGTATTCACCGCTCGAAATTAATCCCTGCTGTCTAAAAAAAAAAATTACTCCCATTTTGGGTACATTATAGAATTAAAGCATGAAATACCTTCTCCCTGTTTGTACTGCATAAGTAGGCACCATACATAAGTGATATCAGGCTAACACTAAGTTAGTATGCACAGAATGACCATACTGGTTGTTTAAACACGGAAATAGCTCCGCACTGATTAATAATAACTGTTACTCCATGTCCCTTCATCATCTTCCCACAAGTCCCCACCAAAGAGTACCACATGGCACAGCAGGGGACTTTGAGGGCTACCTTCAGTGATGAGGCATTCTTTCTGACCGGTCACTGCTAATGCCTTACCAGGCATTAAATGTTTGGGCTGTCTTTGTTAGTGGTATGGATAATGTGCATTTCATTGGAATATTTTGATTCACTTATTTTAATGTGTTCATGTATAAGAGTTAGAGAATTTGTTATTATAGACAAATATAATTTACCTTGTCAATTGGTATAGATCATACAGGTTAAAAGTAAGACAATCTGGGCAAAGTTCTGCTGTGTCAAGTATCTTCTTTCATGACTTTCGTTCTTTTAGGGAAGATTGTTCAAGAGCCTTTGAAGTCATTTAGTTCTGACAAGCACTGGGTAGCAGCATAGCTATGGAGAAGTCACTTAACCTGTCCAAGCCTAGTTACCTCACCTGTAAATTGCTAATGTGCAATTTAAAGGTGGTGACCTATGTCATGTGCCTGGCACAGTGCCGGACACACCAAGCAGATGCTCAAACATGGTGGCTGTCATTATTCTGTCTGCTGCTGAGCAATGCTTTTGGTAACAGTACTGCTCTCCTTATTGATTAACTCATGACTTAATTTGCTTGTCCTTTCTGTGAATTTTGAAATTGTTGGCCCAACCTTTTCTCCTTGAAACTTCTTTTTTCCTTGACTTTGGGATACTACAAGATTTTCTTGGTTTCTGTCTTAACACTCCTTCTCATTCTGTTTTGCAGAATTCTCCTTCTCCATTGATTCTTTTCTTTGGGTTTCATCCTCAGCTTGCTTTCTTCTCATTCTATACACTCTCCAGAAGTGGGCTTACTCCTACCCATGGATTCAACCTATGTACTGACAATTCCAAAACCCATGATCTTGAAAGACTTCTCTTCTGATCTCCAGACACGTTTATGTAGCTGCCTCCAAGACATATCTACACTCAATATGTCAAAACATAAATGCCCCATTATTATCCTTCCAAAGTTACTTCTCCTACATTGTTCTCTATGTCCCCATCATCCACCAGTGACCCATGTGAGAAACCTGAGTCATCTAAACTCCTCCATGTTCATCTCATATCCAAACTCCCATAGCACAACCTGCAAGGTCCTTTATAATTCAGTGTATTTATGACTTTCCAGTATCTCCTTCTTCAACTTTCCATCTTGAATCTGAACTCCAGCCACACTGAATTACTTGCAGTTCCTCAAATACTCTGTGTTCTCTCTCACTTTCAAAGTCTTTGTTCAAGTTGCTTCTTTTGTGTAGAATTCCTTAACCCCTTCTCCATCAGTCTAATTCCTATTAACCCTTATGATTTAGCTTAGAGCTATTTCCTCCAGGAAGCTTCCCCTCACTCCCATATTTGGGTTAGGTGGTCCTGGTGTGTGCTTTGATAGCCACTTCTGCATACCTGTGTCCCACTTGGGTGACACAATTCTGTAATCTGTAAGCTTCCATCCCTGTACTGGTCTTTCCCTCTGGACTGTGAACCCACTGAGGGGAGGTACCCACAGAGCCTGGAATAGTCTAGCACTAACATAGTATGTGCTTAATAAATGCTTATTATTATTTTTTTTTTATCCTCACGTGAGGATATTTTTCCATTTTTTTGTACAGATAGAGTGGGAGGGAGAGAGAGGAAGGGAGAGAGAGAGAGAAACATCGACGTGAAGGGACACATCGAGTGGCTGCCACCCGCACAACCAACCAGGGCCGGGGACAAACTGCAACCAAAGTACGTGCCCTTAGCGGGAACCGAACCTGGGTCTCTCCAGACCGCAGGCTGACGCTCTAACCGCTGAGCCAAACTGGCCAGGGCAATAAATGCTTATTGAAGGAAGAGCAGCATCAATACACAGTTACAAAAGTAGAATCAATGATGTCAGTAAGAAGTTAGAATAAGATCTGGAAGCCAGGTTTTATTATTCATCTTTCTGACAAAGCAGAAAAGCTGTTGGGGTTAAAAGAGAGTTGATTCTATGTGTATACAATAGTCCCACAGTTGAGTGGCTGCAAAGAGACACACACTTTCTTTTTGGCCATTCGATGGGTTTCTTTTTTGAGACATGCAGTTTTAATAGCCACACACAGCTGCCTTTTTTTTTTACTCTTGTTTAAAGGCACATACAACTAGACTGACAAATTGAGAATCCGGGAGTCTGGTGAGTGAACACACAGACACAGAACTTTCCATTTGAGTTATAAAATGCTACAGAAGAGAAGATATCTGTGCTTAACTACTGAAGCGCTGTCACGTGCAAGAGATTGGGCTTTTCTAAATTACTCTTCCTTACTGCTCCACCCTCCCTGTCCCCTTCCCCTGTGCAAGGGTAAAACTAGGACCAGTGGATGGAAGTTGTGGAGAGGTAAAACTCAATGTGATATCAGAAAGAATTTTCTAGTGGCAGAGCTGTCCAAAGCTGGAATGGGCTGCTTTGTCAGACGGTGAGTTGTCAGAGGCTGAATGAGCCGTCAGTGGGGCTGCTGGCGAGGGAGTTCACACACCTGAAGGATGTGGGAGGTATTGTTCTTGTTGACCTCTAATGTGTATTTTCTACCTTGAGATTCTGTTTTCTAATAAAGTCAAAAAGTAACTTTCCACTCTTTTAATTTAGAGAGCAAGCTAAAAGTGAATTCAAGCAGTCAAGTCCAAGAGCTCTCCATCAATTCCAATGCTGCAGTAGAATGTAGCATCTTGTCCCAGACCACTGGGAACCTTCGGTTGGCCATTATTTGGTACTTCTCTTCCATCTCCTCTAATGCATCCTGGCTGAGGATCCTGGAAATGGACCAAACCAATATTGTAAAATATGGGGATGGATTTTACACCCCTCGGAGAAAACAAAAATTTCACACCGAGAAAGTTTCCCCAAAAGTGTTTCAGCTACACATTCTGAGTGTGGAAGACAGCGATCGGGGCAAATACCGCTGCGCTGTGCAGGAGTGGCTCTCGTCCGCCAATGGGGCAGAGTACAAGCTTGGAGAAGAGACGTCAGGTGTGACGGAATTGAAACTCAGGCCCACAGGTAAACCTATGAGTGTGCTCACATGTCTTCTGTAGGATTGCCAATTTCTCTTGGGCAGTTGTTCTTCAGAGGGATTGCAGGAAGGTAAAAACATGACCTAGAGTCCTAAGAATGGTGTCACATACATGATGACTGTAGGACCCAGAAGCCCACCAGAAGGGGATCACTTAAGGTGAATCAATCTGAGGTTTCAAGGAGCTTGGAGGGGAACAAGGCTCCTTTGACTGGTTTGCTGATCAGCCTGGCAGCCTGGGCCATGCAGCTACCCAGGGTATCGTATCTTCAGATCTCTATAATAACAAGCTGTGTCATTCCGGTGGGGCTCTATTGTAATTTGGCAGAGAAAGAGTAATACGAAGCATATTTCCCCCACTGTGAACAGAAACTGTACAACTCTACAGGGATGTGTGTAGAAATTGCTTTTCAACATTTGGCTGCCTACACAGAAGGCGGGTAAGAGTAGTTAACCATTGGAATGGCTTACTGAGGGAATCTCCTTTTCCTCAGGAGATCTTTAAAAATGGAATAGAGGTTCCATCCGCTTGCGTTGGTCTAAGAGTGCTGCGGTCTAAGTGTGGGCAGGGTTGATGGATCTCTCAGCCTTAGTTTGGTCACTTCCAGTGTTGATTAAAATTAAATGAATGTCGTGGCTAGGGTTTGGGAACTGGACGAGATCCAACAGCATGATGCAAGTAAGTTCATCTAGTTTGGCACTTAAAATTCTATTTTTGATGGAACATCAAAAACAAGATTATAATGAGCATTGCTGTGTGTTAGGCAGTTAGAAATACATAAATATAAGACACAGCTCTCGCCTTAAGGAGCTCACAGTGTACTGGGGCAAAAGGGAGCCCCTCTGGCTTCCCATCTCCATGTCCTTCAGACCCTTCTTCCTCTTCCTGCTGAACATGAGTGTTCCTTAGGGTTAGACCCCAGGTCCATTTTTCTTCTTATTCTCTGCTCTCTTTAGAACTACTTTTTTTTATGGAGGACAATGAAAAATAATCTGTATCTGATTTTTTTCCTCAATTCTTATTGATTTATTTTTGTTACAGATGTTTCTCTTATTTCCCCCCTAGATACCCTCCTCCCCATTCCACCCTCTACCCCCCTAGAACTGTTGTCTATGTTCTTCGGTTATGCTTACATGCATACAAGTTCTTTGGTTCATCTCATCCATCTCTCCCGCCCCCCTCCTCTGAGGTTTGTCAGTCTGAACCATACTCCTTTCTATGTCTCTGGTCTATTTTGCTTATCAGCCCACCTTGTTCATTATATTCCACAAATAAGTGAGATCACGTAGTATTTGTCTTTCTCTGATTAGCTTATTTCGTTTAGCATAATACTCTCGAGGTCCCTCCATGTCAACTCAAAGGGTAAGAGATCTTTCTTTCTTACAGCTGCATAGTATTCCATTACATATATGTACCACTGCTTTTTTATCTACTCATCTATTGATGGACACTTGGGCTGTTTCCAGATCTTGGTGATTGTAAATAGTGCTGCTATGAACATAGGGGTACATATATTCTTTCGGATTGGTGTTTTAGGCTTCTTAGGATGTATTCCTAGAAGTGGGATCAGTGGGTCAAATGACAGATCAATTTTTAATTTTTTGAAGAAACACCATATTGTTTTCCATAGTGGCTGTACCAGTCTGCATTCTCACCAGTAGTGTACTAGAGTTCCCTTTTCTCCACACCCTCGCCAGCACTTGTTGTTTGTCTTCAGAACTTCTTAAACTCTGCCTTGATTTTAGCTACCTCCTTCAATGCAACAGCTCTAGGTCTTCAGTCTTAGCCCGTTTCCTGAGCTCCAGGTCTTTGAACCAGCTGCCTGTCGGGCGTTCCCACCCGGATGCCTCGGAGTCCCTCACGCTCAGCATGCCCTAAATTGCATTTAGCCTTTCTGCCATCCCACAAGACTCATGCACACTTCTGCTTTCTCCATCTGTGTGGCTGGCATCCCTTCCTCCCAGCTGTCTAAGCCAAATCTTGACAGTGTATGCACATCCCTTCAAGGAGGCAGCCACTGCTGAGTTCAGGCCAGAGCTTCCCATTCAAAAATGTGGGCTCAGCAGGGTGTCTTTTAGTATATCAAGAAATGCCTAAACATTTTTGTGGTGACACCTCTCATTTTGAGAACATTCACAACACATTCAAATCCCTTTAAAATCCTGAGAGTGTCAAACAAAACATATTTGGGTGTGGCTGCTGGAGGGTGGACAGCTGAGCGCCCTGGTGTAGGGAGTGAATTATGGAAGGGGCCCCAGGATAAGGTACTCAGAAGGACTGGTCAGAATTGTAGGAGGGGTATTTCTCTGAAATCAAAAGAGGAGAAGGTTTCAAGAGGAAAATGGACTTCAGTGACAAAAACCACAGAGAGGACAGAAAAGACTAGAGGGTCTCCTGAGCAGGGAAATCAGACCCTACTGTGGCCCTTGGCCAGACTCTAGTAGTGGGATTGGAAGGCTGACTGCAATACTGTAGGGAGTAATTTGAAGGGAGGAAACAGATAAATATTAGTTATTTCATACTTCACATGCTTTGCCATCCAGAGAAGGAAAGAGTAAAGATGGTAACAAAAAAAGAATCCAGGATTAGACAAAGTTGTTCTTTTAAAGATAGATCAATAAATGTGTTTGTCGTGGAGTTTAAAATTTAGTGCATACTGTACTTTCTTTATTTTGTTTGTAACTACTCTGGACTCCATTCCAAGTCCTTACCTGCTGAGAGAAAAAAAAAAATTTTAAGTGAATGTCAAAATCTGTTTAAAACTCAGTCTAATTCTATAATGTAAATGGTCTCCTTGAGTGGTATTCTAACACTTGTACAAGAATGTTCAGTCTTGTCCGGCCGGTGTGGCTCAGTTGTTGAGCATCGAGCCATGCACCAAGAGGTCGCCAGTTCAATTCCCAGTCAGGGCACATGCCCAGGTTATGGGCCCGATCCCCAGTGAGAGACATGCAGGAGATGGCCAATCAATGTACTCTCTCACTGACGTTTCTCTCTTTCTTTCTCTCTTACTTCCTGTCTCTCTAAAATCAATAAAGGGGGAAAAAAAAAAAAACAGAAGTTCAGTCTCTCAGACAGCCTCCTCTTTCCTGTGTCTACACCTGAGATGATATGGGGCATGCGGGAGGAGGGTGCTTTGCTAAGAATGAGGGGTTTGCTGGAATACATGACTTAAGGGGTGGGAGGGGCTGGAAGCATTGAATGGTCCCCCTGGGCAGCAGACAGACAGGGAGAAGTAAAAGCAGCAGGGAAGCTGGGTGGCTTTCACTGCCAGGTCCAGCAGACAGGACGTAGGGCTAAAGGACGGAAGTGGCTGTTAGATTCATAGCAGAAAATGTTCTAGTAAATATGGAAGAAGAACAGGGGTCAAGGAAAAGTGTTCAGGATGAAGGACCTGATGTCTAGAGGAGATAAGATGACATCTCAGCGAGAACTAGGTTTTTCAGAGGAGGTGTCGTCTAAATGTCTGGGTTCTTCTCTAACTTACTGCCACTTTATTTCCTAGGAAGTAAGGTGCGTGTCTCCAAAGGGCACTGGACAGAAAACGCTACCGAGCACGGAGAGGTGGCCATCCCCTGCAGCCTGGAGAGCTCGGGCGGCTCAGCCTCCCTGTTCTCTGTGATGTGGTACTGGACCAGAGAACATTCTGGAAATAAACTGCTGGTGCACCTGCAGCACGACGGCTTGCTGGAGTACGGCGAAGAGCGGCTCAGGGGGCACCTGCACTGTTACCGTTCATCCGCTACAGGCTTTGTCCTGAAGCTCCAGCGGGTGGAGATGGAGGATGCGGGGAAGTACTGGTGCAGGGTGGCGGAGTGGCAGCTCCATGGCACCCCCAGCAAGTGGGTCAGCCACGCATCGGACGAGTCACAGCGTATGGTGCTCACGGTGCTGCCTTCAGGTAACGAGGTGTGAACCTGCCATGGCTCTGGTCAGGAGAATCCTTGTCTCTCCTCGTGTCCTTTCCTTCCCAGCTGTTTTGTTCCTTCTTCAGGCTGAAAACAATTTCAGACTCCTTAACAAAATGACTTTGCCCTTTCTTTCCATAGTAACTTATTGGGACAGACAAGGTCCATGTGAGGTTTTAGCATAGACATTGAAATGTCGGGTGACTCTGCTCCTGCTTCCCATCCCAAACAAACAAACAAACAAAAAGCCCTCAACAGCATATCCCTTAAATAACCGGAGAGTGTTAGCAGCAGACATCCTTCCGTCTCAGCTGATCCTGCATCTCAGAATGCTGATGTGCGATGGGAGTGGAGCTGAGGGGAGGGACTGGTGACTCTACCTTTGATCTGGTTGAACCAATATCAGCTGCATCTGTGCTCCCTGAGTCTAAAACAAAACAAAACAAAACAAAACAAAACAAAACAAAACAAACAGAGTAAGCCTTTCTCAATGAATAAGGGTCAAGCTTCTTATCTCTCTGTGTGCTCAACAAACCATCAGGACTTTGATAACGCCAGCCATTTGGTGTGTCTCTCCTAATTGCACCTTGAAAGGCATCAAAGGAGGAAGAGCACCTGATAGAACTTGTTTACAGGCTCCAACAAAGAGGAAAGCTCCTCGAAGACCACTGGCCAAAGGGTGACCCTTTTCTGTGTGGGAAGGTCATCCTATCCAGCTGAGTGCACAGATCCAGAAGGGATATGGAGCAAGAAATGTTGGAGGAGAAGAGGGCACCCTTCCAGCCAGTGCAGTGCCAAGCATATAACAGGCATTTATTAAGCATTTGTTAATGAAAGCAAAAATGTCTCCAGCCAGACCAGTAAATCTTCCCTGGAAATCAATGAGCTGGCAGATGCTATAGCCAACTCATTCTCTGAGCCACTTCTGCCTAGTGGGCTTTAAGGAGAAGGTGAGAGGTGAGTGATGAGCTCAACTTACTGTGGAAAAGGGTCAGAGGTGTGGTCTTGGTTCCCTCCACCAGAAAGGGTATGAAAGATGGATAAAGATAACATTCCTAGGAAAACAGATGGCTTTGGTGACACTCCTTAGGAGGGAAAGAGTGCTGTGAACATATGGAAATTTCTCAGAAGCAGAGATAGTTGCCTCCCAGCTGTCCCAGCAGGGCTTCTAGATTGGAAGTCAATTACCTGATTTGTTCCCTGGGGTCCCATCATCCTCTTCCCCTGTCCATTCTTCGGTAATTTTTCCTCCCAAGTCTTCCAGAAGAATTTTTCTTCCTATCAGTTTTTCTTCCATTCCAACAATTACAGAAGTTCTATACCCCTGAACGCATTCCATATATATGTTTTCCCACGGGAATTCCTATGGTCTGCAGAATCAGTGCTTTTTGCAATAGAATAAATAGATAATAACTGTAAAAAGTACATATTGCGTAACTAAAAAGCACATTTCTTTGCGGAATCCTTATAAAATAAGTGTGAAGTTTTAAATAAATGAGCCCTGGAAAGTGTTAAAAATTGAGTGCTCTTTGTATTCTTCACAATTGAAGAAGCATGAAAGCCTGTGCCATAACTTGAGGCTTTTTGTTGCAAGTGCAGGTAAGGGTGCCCACGTAAATATCTGTAGTCTAGCATCTTGCTTCCTCTGCCTGGATGTTTCTTTATGGTAGTGGGGAGGCAGTGTGGGGAGATGAAAAATTTCAGGGTTAGGATCAGGCAAGCGTAGGCTCACCTCATAGCTCTACCACCTACCCACTAGCTAGGAAATCGAAGTATCTGGCATAGTTCCTGAATAGTGTGAGTGCCCAACAAATGTTCTTTTTCTGCTTATGCCTCCAAACATGCCACACACACACACACACACACACACACACACACACGTAAATAAATATGTATATGTCCACTTATGTAACAAAATATTATCATTTATTCCATAAAGAACTAGATGAGGTTCTGAGGACATAAAAACATGTATTGCAGGGTCTGGCCTCACAGAGCTGAGTCCAATCTGCAAGTGTCATCAAAGAAATCATCTCAGGATGCTACAGCAGGAGCAGAGGCAGGGCTGGGGTAGGGGGCTGGGTGAGGAGGAGATCTGGGAAGGTTCCCCAGACTATAGGACCTGTAAAAAGGGAAGAAACACATTTTACAAAAAGTAAAGGGTATGTAAGATAATCCTAGAAACTGTGGTAAAATGGCAAGAGATGAGGTTAGTGAGATGGGCAGATACAGATCTCAAATGTGTCTTGTGTGTGAAGCTTAAGCAAGTGAACTTTGTCATAGAAGTTGTGGAGTGACATTGAACACGTTAAGCAAGGGTATGACATCATCAGGTTTACATTTTAGAAAGCTCCCTTCTAGGAGCAGTGTTCACAATAAATTGGAAGGGAGGCAGACACAGAGCAGGGCAAACTGTCGTGAATTGTTTGTAGAACCCAAGTGAGATGATATGAAGGCCTGCATTAAGGCAGTGCTGGTGAGGGCTGAGCACGGGACAGGCTTTGGGAGTAGGAGGTGTATTCTTTTTTTATTCATTTATTTTTGTTATAGATGTTTCTTTCTCCTTTTCCCCTGCAGACACCCTCCTCCCTAAGGAGGTGTACTCTTAAAGATTTAGAGATTGATTAGATATCTTTGGGGGGTCGGGAGCAGAAGGGAAGAATCAAAAATGAACATCAGGCCCTGGCCGATTTGGCTCAGCGGTTAGAGCATCAGCCTGCAGTCCAGAGAGACCCGGGTTTGGTTTCTGCTAAGGGCACGTATCTTGGTTGCAGTTTGTCCCCGGCCCTGGTTGGGTCGTGTGGGTGGCGACCACTCGATGTGTCCCTTTCACGTCAATGTTTCTCTCTCTCTCTCCCTCCCTCCCACTATCTGAACAACAAAAAAAAAAGAATGAACATCAGGTTTCTGGTGAAGGTGGGTGGTGGGACATTCAGTAAACAGGAGAAAGGTCTGAAGGGGAAGATTAGTTCAATTTTGAATAAGCTGGACCGGAATTGAGTTTGAAGAACCTAGGGATTATCCAGGGAGTCTATCAGTAGACATTAGAACTTCAAGATCTTTGCCTGAGTTATAGATTAGAAGTCATCGACTTGTAGCCAATAATGATGCCCAGGGATGGACTCACCATTTATTGATCATGGGAGGGCAGAAGAGGAGCCTGTGAAGGAGAATGAGGGAGTAGATGAGAGGTAAGAGGAGAACCAGGGTTTGGTGATAGAAACCAAAGGCAGAGAGGGAATCAAGAGGGAAGGGAAAGCCAACAGACTTCAGCTATTGCAAAGAGGTCAACTATATAAGAATGGGAAAATAGCCACTGGATTTGGCAATATAGAGAAATTATAAAAAAGCAAAGAAGTCAGACTGCTTAAGAAAGTGGACACATCAAATGCAGATTATGCTTTCAAGAGTCTTCATGTGAAGGGAAAGAGAAACAACCATAATGAATGGCAAGAGGTGTCCATGAAGCTTTGCTTTGTTCTGTTTGGTCTGGAAATGGTGGAAACTTGAGCATGTGTACATTCTAGAGGGGAAGAGGCAGTGAAGAGGAAGAAGGTGAAGAGTAGAAGAGAACAGACATGACTGACAGTCCAACATCTTGCATGAATACATACTGCCTCTTTTTAAAAAAAATTATTGACAGTATTACAGATGTTCCCTATTTTCCCCTCACTATTCCCCTCCACCCAGCTCCCACCCCACCCCAGGCCTTCACTGCACTATTGTCTGTGTCCATGGGCTATGTGTACATGCTCTTTGGTTAATCTCTTCCTGTCCCGCCACCCCACCCTCCTTCCCCTCTGAGATCTGTCAGTCAGTTCCATGTATTCATGCCTTTGGACCTAATTTGTTTGTCAATTTATTTTGTTCATTAGATTCCACATATAAGTGAGATTACATGGCATTTGTCTTTCTTTGAATGGCTTATTTTGCTTAGCATAGTAATCTCTAGGTCCCTCTATGTCATCTCAAAGGGTAATAGATCCTTCTTTCTTACAGCTGCATAGTATTCCATTGTGTATATGTACCACAGCTTTTTTTTTTTTTTTTTATTCTCACCCGAGGACACTCTTTGATATTTTGTTCTGATAGAGTGGGAGGGAGAGAGAGAAAGAAAGAAACATCGACGTGAAAGGGACATATTGAGTGGCTGCCACCCACGCGACCCAACCAGGGCCGGGGACAAACTGCAACCGAGGTACATGCCACCACTCCTGCTTGCCTGCTTGGCAACTCGAGGTTGAATTGGTTTGGGACTGCCTAACAAAACTGTGATGCAGGTTGTGTGAAGGCAGAGCAGTTAAGAGGCATTTCCCTGGGGGGACAGACCTTGCATTTTTTTCTCCATCTTACTTCCTTAGCTATGACTATGCAAAATCAGGGACTTTAGCTACCTGAGTCTTTTGACCTCACTCTCAGAACCCAGACATAGCTGTCTTATTCTAGAGAATTCTCTGAAGAATTGATAGGCAAGGCTATAGGGCTTTCCAGGGACTGGATTATTTGTAATGGTATGGTACTTGTTACTATTGTCCAGCTTTTATTTGCATAAAGATATACTTAAAAAGTGGGTCCCCAAAGGAGATATGTGCCCCTCCCACAATGGAGTTCCTAGGGAGGCCATGCCACCTATCCATGCTACCCCAGCGCCTCTACCAAGGCCTGACATACAGCGCCCAACAAGTGCCCAATGAAAGAAGGAGCAAGCCTGTCTTATGTGGGATGCTGTCAGGGGTTCACTTATTTGGGGACACATTTGTAACAGGTTACCTAACCCTGCTTTTATTTCTTGGCCGGAGACTCTCCCACATGGCCACACATGGCAAAGTCAGCTGCCCACGTTTTGGTTGGGGTGGGGAAAGAGTTGGTAGCCCCCTGATTGTCCCATACCCTTCCTCTTCTTAATGTTCCTTATGATGTGTTTGGCTGTGGGTGGAAGCCTGGTATAAATTAAACCTCATGATGAAGTGTTCTCATTACATTTTTGGCTCAGTCTTGCAGGCCTTGTACTTTGAGCTTTGGGTACTTACTTGGATTAATTCAAAATGCCAAACCTTAATGATTTTGAATGTCACTAATTCTAATCCAGATATGGGTGAGAGGCAGATGGTGGGAAACGGTGATTGTGAGATCCAGAGCAAACACTGTCCTCCCAGGAGAGGTCATTTAGAAGCAGTGGAGCTGACGGTTGCTAGCTGTTGGCCAATTCGGTGCTGTGAAGAGCACACTTTGCCGTCCTTTGATGGCGGATTGCTGTAAACAAAGCAGCCTCCTCCCCATTAAGATAGTCAAGTCCCCTGGCAGTCCTCTCACACTGAAGGCTAGCGTCTCAGTGGCAGAAAAAGCAGGCACCAGAGTTCTTTTCATCTTCCATGTGCCGGCCCCATGTCCCCATCATCACACCACCATCCTAGCAACAGTGATACGTAAGTGCTGTGGACTCCCACCTCCGAATTCTCTTTCTCCCGTGACTAGAAAAGGAAGCCAGAGCCCTGGCCGGTTTTGCTCAGTGGTTAGAGCATCGGCCCATGGACTGAAGGGTCTCAGGCTTGATTCCTGGGTTACAGGTTCTATACCCGGCCCCTGTCAGGGTCATGCGGGAGGCAACCAATTGACGTGTCTCTCTCACATCAATGTTTCTTTCTCTCTTCTTCCTTCCCTCCCTTCCATTCTCTCTAAAAATCAATGGAAAAATATCTTCAGGTAAGGATTAACCAAAAGAAAAGGAAGCCAGAGTCTTCTAAGTAGTCATGTGACTCTCAATGACTATCACCCAGTCCTGGGGACAGAGGGCTCAGAGATTTAAGGAAGAGCCTTGGCCTGTGGAAGAACATAACCAAGCCTGAGGAATCAGCAAGCTCAGCCCTGTTTTCTCTCTGAGCTCTCAGAAGAAAGTTGTCTGTGATTTTCCTAACTTTCTCAGTAGCTTTCTAGCTAATATTTATTACTTGCTGACTCAACAAATATGCTAGGCACTATATTAAATGCTTTATTGTGCATTATCTCACTACGACTCTAGAAATTGTTATTCTAATTTGATTGACAAGGAAACTAATAATTAGAGTGGATAAATAACTTGTCCAATGTCAGTCATGGTACATGAAGAGTCAGGATTTGAACCCAGCTCTCCAAGATGTAGTAGGTACTCAATCACTCACTGCACATGAGTAGTGCAAAGTACCAAGGCCAATACCCTTAGCCTCTTGGTCTCTTCAGCTCCATTCTCTTTCAGCACTTCTGTCTGTACCCCTTCCTTCTTTTTAAAAAATATTTTTAATTGATTTCTTTTTTTGGGGGGGAGAGAATAAGGAGGAGTGAAGAGAGAAACCTTGATCTGTAGTTTTACTTATTTATATTTATGCATTCATTGATTGATTTTTGTATGTGGGGACTGAACCCATGACCTTGGTGTACTGGATCGATGCTCAAACCGGCTGAGCTACTTGGTCAGGGCTATGTGTTCTTCTTAATCACATGCCTTCAAATGTATTCAGATAAGATGTGGGAGAATTACTGTAGTCAAGCAGGGCCTTAGAGAGAGGGATTAGGTAGGATGTGGGGAGGGTTGATAAAGGATTCAAAATCTATCTTTCTCGTTGCCTACCCTTTCAAAAACCAAAATCAAATTTAAGATGGAGAATATAAACGAGACCAGAGAAAATGCAGACAACAAAGCCCTGCAGCTCCTTGCCAGCCCTGCTCAGTGACGATCTCACTCTGTGTGAGAAGAGGGCAGCCACCCTGGATTTCTGTGTGTAGAGTTCACTCTCGTGACTGATTCATCCATTAGTCTCCTTTGATAACCTATGAACATATTGCTGTACAAATAAAAAGATGTATGAGACATAGGCCCTGTCCTCTAGGAGTTCCCAATGCAGGAGTGGGGCCAGTGTTTAGATTCTTGACTTCCAACCAAGACACGTTGTTCAAGGAGCAAAATGCATCAGCAATGCCGAAAGTGGAATCCTTGTGGAATGTGGTTGATCAAAATGACCTCAGAACCTGTTTTCATCTCAAAGAGTCTATCATCCCAAGAATCCTACAGCCTAACCTCTGAAAAAGAAGTTGCTTATGTTATTACAGTTTTCCAATGAAAGCGCAGCTACTATTAGCATCGGATTTTCAGAACAACCCTGATTTCCAAGATCCTGTCAGAAGTAAATGTAGCTGGAAGGCTACATTTGGTAGTTGGTGTCTCATGAAACACGTGTCTTTCTGCATCAAGACACTGTAAGCCTGGTCCTTTACTAGTAACTCAGGTTCTGTGTCCAGAATGCGGTCCTCTTGTCTGCTTCCCTGGCTGTGTGGCCGGGACCGCTTTGGGCCTGCATGCACATGCTCCTCTTGTCAGGTGCTGACAGGGATTCCCCAAGGCCTGCAGCTGCAGATGGGGTGTCTTCAGCAAGCCTTTGTATGGTATCATCTGCCTCAGTCAGTCCAATCTAATTTAGATGAGCAAAAGTTACCAAACACATGTGCCAAGCACTGTAGGGGTTAGAGAAACAAATGACACCTTCAGACACTCTCAAGTACCTATGATGGAACAAAAGAGATGGTTAGAAGGGAATTGGAAGAGGTCGGAACAGACCTGAGTGTGATCGGATAGAAGAGAACTGTACCTGAGGCGAGGTAGGACCCTCTGGGGAAGGAGGTGTGATCTGAGCTGGGCCAGAGGGCCCAGAGGACCAGGGTGCAGAGAGCATGCCAGGGCAGCAGCAGTAAGAGCAACACAGGAAAGGAGCTGAATGGAGAGGCCCGAGGGAGTGAGACCAATTTGGAGTCAGGCAGGGATGCGGCTTCTCAAGGCAAGTGCTGTTTTGTGAGGCCCATGAATGAAAGGGGGGGGGGGGGGGAGGGGGGGGGAGGGGGAAGAGAGAGAGAGAGAGAGAGAGAGAGAGAGAGAGAGAGAGATTAGGAAGCAGCAGCAGCAGTGGGAGTAACTCAGTTAAAATTTCAGGACCAGCAGCAGAGTTGAGAACCAGAGTTGAATTATAGATTTTTTCTGAGGAAAGATTAGAGGAGAGGCTTTCTTTTTTGTTTTTGTTTTCTTTCTGGCTGTTAGTTTTAAGTAGGTCATTGGAACCCCCAGTGGCTGGAAATTGCTGTGCGAGGGGGCAGTTGGAGGAGCACCGTCAGGAGCTCTCTGCTCCCACACACTCTCCTTTGCTCCTCACATGTGATTTGAGGGGCCAGCTGCTACTTGGGCCATTATTTTACATGTATTTGCCTGTAACAGTGAAGCCCAGAAGTATTTATAGTGGATTAGTTCAAGTAAGTCAGAGACTAATCATCCTCTCTGTTTTTCTCTTTTTGTGGCAGAGCCCACGTTTCCTTCCAGGATCTGCTCTTCAGCATCTTTAATCTATTTTTTATTCATCTGCCCCTTTGTTGTGCTCATTCTGCTCGTTCTCATCCTCTGCTTGTACTGGAAGGCCAGAAAGTCGTCCGCACTGAGACTACCCTCCCAGAGAGAAAAGACGCTCTGGGTGGACTTGAAGGGGGCTGGAGACAAGCCCATCAGCAGGAGGGAAGAGGAAGAGGGAGAGGACAAGGAGGACCTTTGAATCCCAAGAGGCGCCCGCAGCCCTGTGGAAGAGTGTGGACTTTGCAAGGGACTGACCAGGCCAGGACTGAACGGATCCTGCTTCTGCCCTTCTCTGTCTGTGGCCTCGGTAAGTTACCTGAGAACCCGAAGAAACGTTGATCGCGCATGTATGTGGTGCCAAGCACTGTTAAGTGTTTCTTTGTGTGTGACCTCATCTGCCCCTTGCATCCCCACCCCCACACCCAGGAGCTAGATGGCCTCATTACCCCGTTTTCATGCACCACACCTCACAGAGGTTCAGGTTCCCCATTTGTGTGTGTGTGTATATGTGTGTGTGTGTGTGGTACGTGCCCCTAGCGGGAACCGAACCCAGGACTCTCTGGTCTGCAGGCCGATGCTCAGCCGCTGAGCCAAACTGGCCAGGGCAGGTTCCCCATTTCTGAGGAGAGAAGGCCTGCCCTCACGCAGCCTCCGGGGGACTAAAAGAGATCCTATGCCCTCAGCTCTCCTCTCTCAGTCACTGATTCCCTGGAAAACACCTGGAGTGACATGTCCCACTGGTTCTAGGTAATCTTTTGCCTCCAGATAAGAGGGGTAGGAAAGGTCCTGATGTCAACAAGGGGAAAGGAATTGGGGGCATGCCCTTCTTTCCCATTAAATCTGCCTCCAACAAGAATGTGACTTCTTCGAGGCAGAAATCTCATCTATAAACGCCACTCGAGCTCGGCGCAGTAGGTGCTTAATTCATATTGCTTCTTTAGTAAAATGATAAAGCATTTTGTAGCCTTAGTTTCTTTTGCTTTTCTTTCTTTCCTTCTTTCTTTCTTTCTTTCTTTCTTTCTTTCTTTCTTTCTTTCTCTCTCTCTCTCTCTCTCTCTCTCTCTCTCTCTCTCTTTCTTTCTTCTTTTTTGTTGTTGTTAATCCTCACTCAAGGATATTTTTCCATTGATTTTAAGATAAAGTGGAAGAAAGCGGGGCAGGGCAGGAGGGGGGATCAGTTGGTTGCCTCCTGAACTACCCCAACTGGGGCCGGGGCCAGGATCGAACCTGCAACCCAGATATGTGCCCTTGACCAATTATTGAACCCACAACTCTTCAGTCCACGGGCCAATGCTCTAACCGCTAAGCCAGACTGGCCAGGGCCAGGGCTACGTTTCTTTATAAGATTTATTGGGTCATTGCTAAGGAAAAACGTTTTTTAAAAAAATTCTGTAACAGTACTCCAGTCAGTCCCCAAGGCCTCTTATCTCCCCTTTCTCCCCACACCGAAAGGCCAGTCTGGCTGCTGGCTCTAACTCAGTGCTTTCTTTTCTTTGCCTGACAGCACTCTGATGCTGTGGTCGTTATCTGGGGGAGGAGCGGTCAATAGTGGCCCCATCCCCTCCCACCCCGGCGGGGGCTAGCAGTCAGGGGGACAGTGCATCAGGTCTGGTTCCTCAGGGTCCCCTATTCTCAGCCAGGAAAAGTCAAAAGGATGGGGGTGAGGGATCCTGGCTTAAGACTTTCAACAACTGTCCCTACTGGGCATGAGGTCCCTTACCTTTGTTTCAAAAGCTGCTCAGGCTGGAATTGAAAATCAATCAGCGTCATCTAACAGACTTGAGAAAACACATCTACTTATTGTCTTTATGACCAACAGCATTGCTTTAACTCTCAGTAATTTGCATTTCCAAGGAGAGCAATTTATTTTTAATTATTTTATCAGGCACAGATGTCCTCTCAAAACCTAATTAGTTCCTTTGCAAGGGGATTATCAGTGGCTATGAGAACTCCCACTGTAGACCTACTAGTTCCTTAAATTCATCTCCCTTTATCGCCTCATTTGAAATACTCCAAATGTTTCCTTAAACACACCAACACATTTGTTTCTCTCTCTCAGGCAACAAAGTTAAAGTTAAAATTTCTTAGAAAGTATGATTAATGTCTCCACCCTCCCAATTTTTCCAGAAACCTATATTTTAATTGGAATATTAAAGGGAAAGCGCAGAATTGAGCCCAGTCAGAGAATCTGGATTCTGGTGCTTCTCCCCCCTCTCCCTCACTCCCCCACCCTACCTCTGCCACCTCTTTTTTCACCTGAATACTGCCTTTCAGCTCTCAGCTCAAATGCCACTTTTTCACATTGGAATGCAGCACAGAGGATGCCAGAGCAGATGCTCCGATATCTACCCCCCACCCCCAACCCACCCCCACTCCTTGGCCCAACAGAACCGGGGAATGATCCTTTCCCAGCCAGCATCCTGTGTCTGGCCTGGGATGGGTGTGAGGGGTCCAGTGAGGACCCAAACTGATGCAGCCCCGTTCCCCTTGGTTGTCACCTTGTCCTGGATGCTCTGCTTTCAGTAAAGGGATCTGGAACACGTTAGGTTTTCTTTTTTATCCTCACCCAAAGACATTTTTGTGTTTATATTCAGATAGAGCAAGAGGGAGAGAGGGAGGAAGACAGAAACATCAGTGTGAGAGAGACACATCAACAGGTTGCACAAACTGCAACCAAGGTACGTGTCCTTAGCGGGAACTGAACCCAGGTCTCTCTGGTCCACTGGCCGTCGCTCTAACCGCTGAGCCAAAACGGCCAGGGCAGAACACATTAGGTTTTCTAAGAAGCCACATTGTACTCTTTGGCTCATAGTGAGTTTTCGGGCAACTAAAACCCCAATCTTCTTTTTTTCCTTTCTGAACTTCCAGAATAAAATGTGTTTTCACTCATTTCAGTAGACATTTTACATGAATTTCTACTTGCCCCAGGTGGCTACTTGTTCATTTCAGTTCTTAAAGCTTAACGGAGAACTTCACTTTTACTCATTGATTTCAACTTTTCCATTCTGTGTCACCACCTGGTTTTACTTTACTTTCTTGTGTTATAAATTCTCCTTGGCAACAGGACCAACCTCTGTCCCTGGAATTGGCTATCTACCCACCACGGGCAAAATACAGCCCACCCCTGTTTTATAAAATACAATTTGTTGGAATACAGCCCCTTCCATTTGCCTACATATTCTCTATGGCGCTGTCATGAAAAATGGTGGAGTCAAACAGTTGCCATAGAGACTGGAGGACCCACAAAGCTTGAGATGTTTGCTCTCTGGCTTCTTATGGAAAATGTTTGCCAACCCTGCTCTCTTTAAGTGGCTAATGTTCTATCTGTCTTCACCATGTATTATGTTCCTGGGAAACTTGATTTGACTTATATCTGTACTAGTTATAGATTGGATTAATTTAATAAATAATCTCAGGCTCTCCTATTGGTATCTAGTCCAGCAGTGCTGAAGGTTGGATCCTCTCCACCATACTCCTACTAGCGATGGGAAACTCCACACCACTCTGATGAATCTTACTCAGTATAGGACGAGATGACACAGAGATGACTAAGGCATGAATAGTCTCCTTGTCTCCTTTCATTGTCTTTAGTCTACTGAGACACCTATAGAGACAACTGATTTATGGTAGCTGAACACAGTGGTAGAAAGTCATGTACCATAGTAATTTTTTTTTTTATCCTCACCCGAGGACATTTTTTCATTTTTTGTTCAGATAGAGTGGGAGGGAGAGAGAGGAAGAGATAGAGAGAGAAACATCGACGTGAAAGGGACACATCAAGTGGTTGCCACCCACATGACCCAATCAGGGCCGGGGACAAACTGCAACCGAGGTATGTGCCCTTAGCGGGAACTGAACCTGGGTCTCTCCAGACCGCAGGCCAACGATCTAACCGTTGAGCCAAACTGGCCAGGGCCATAATAATTTCTTAAAATGGTACAGGAGGTATACATCATCTTAGAGTTTCATGGCCTCCCCATGCAAAAGGGATTATTATTCCCATCCTGCAGGTAAGAAATGGAAGTTCAGAGAGGTTGGAATTTATGTAGAATCACCCAGCCATATGCAGAAGAGTAAGAGTTCAAGTTGAGGTTGACTGACAACAAGTCCTGGACTCTTCCACAATAAACCCTATGCTCAAATTCTGGTGATAGGGAAAATCTGGTGATAATCATATCCCCCTCGCATGGTTTTTATGAGGATCAAATGAGATACTTACATGGAGATAAGTTTTAAACAATTTTGAGTCATAAATGAATGTCAGCATAACCCAGGTTTTTCCAGGCCTTACCTGTCTGTGCACATAAATGAAATTACATCAACAATAATAATCCAGACTCTATATAGACTTTTGCCCCCGGGCTGCTTACACAGAGTCCTGGCCATCTAGAAAGTGTTCCTTCAGGATTTCAGGGGATTCCCTAGGATTCTGGGAATTCAGATGAGCTCACAAACAAGTCTACTTGCACATGGTCCCCTGTGGCTCCGTTCAGCTCCATGGGCTCACACTGTAATTAGACTGCTAGTGCACATGAAATACCATGCTGGACGGTGCCCAGTGGTAAGCAAGGAAAAGTGCCCACCTCTCATTGTGTCTTTACATTATACTCTGGATTGTAGAAGAATCCAAGTTTGCTTGTGCCCAGGTCTCCAAAGATTCTCTTTTGAAAACAGCCCAGCTTGTCCTTTCTCTGTAGGGTCCTGACACCAACCAGGCTGGGACTGTTATCAGTGGAAGTGGGGTGTCCTCTTCCCTACTGGGTGCTGGGGGTTGGGTTCTTATGATATCTCTAGAAAAAGAATTTTCTGAGACTCACACAGGAAGATGAGTGATTTTTACTTGCGTGGAATCACATCCCTGGGTTTCCAAAGTCCCATTTCCCTTAATCCAGTCCTAGAAGAAGTGCAGCTGAGAATTCAGTAGAGCTAAAAGCAAAGCGTGTCCTAGGTTTCCATTCCATTTTGGAATTGGGTCCGGTTTAGCATTAGGCTAGTTGCAGTCCATTAGTTCATTATGTGTGGGGTCCTCATGGCCATGAGTCATGTGGGCAAATGCAGGAGCATTAGAGCCCCACAAGCCAGGAGTCAACCAAGAGGATCCAAGGGAGCTTGATTAGAAGATTAGCTCTCTCAACAGAAACAAAGAAAAAAATGAACACATGGGACTACATCAAACTCAAAGCTTCTGCACATCAAAAGAAACAACCATCAAAATGGAAAGGCAACCCACTGTATGGGAGAACATCATTGCCAATGATACATCAGGTAAGGGGTTAATTTCCAAAATATATAGAGTCCTCAACAAAAGGAAAACAAAGAACCCAATTAAAAAATGGGCAGAGGAGCTGAATAGACACCTCTCCAAACAGGACATACAAATGGCCAAGAGACATATGAAGAAATGCTCAACATCACTAATCATCAGAGAGATGCAAATTAAAACAACAATGAGGTATCACCTCACACCTGTCAGAATGGCTGCCATCAACAAATCATCAAACAAGTGCTGGCGAGGGTGTGGAGAAAAGGGGACTCT